TTAACATTTGAATTCGAATTCGACTAATTAATTATTTTTGATAATTAATAAATATATAAAATAAATATTTTATTTATACAAAGTATAAATATATAAATAATATATAAAATATTTATATAACTAATTTGATTATCATATATAAATTATATAAAATATTTAAATATTTTATATATTATATATAAAAAATAAATAACCGATCAAATTCGGATATTTATCAAATTGATGCAAGTCATATCTAAATTTGAATCCATATAATTAGATATTTGAATTATTCGAATCGAATCGATTCAATTATATCAAATCTCGAATTCGGAATTGAATTTTCAAATACCGTTGACATTCCTAATCTTATCACATAAATGGCAACTTTTTTGTATTTATAAATGTTGAAAACATCACATTTGCACCTTCTGTTGTCATTCTAACATCAATATAAAAGAGGTATAGATGCAACGTGTTAGAAACCAGAGTATGGACGGTGTGTGCCGGGGTGCACTTCTAATCAGATTTGAACACGTTTTAGTTCGCATGGGCACCTTGGTTACATGTGCGAAAAAATTGAATGTGAAGTTTGCCATGTATTTATAAAACATATTTCAAACTAAAAAGGGAAGAATGTTTATCTTCTTGGGGTTCAACAATCAGAGAGCGGCGACAACTTCATCGACACCCATATACCTCTCTTTCTCTCATGTGAATAACAGAAATCAGAACTCCCCTGGACTCCACGGGAATTGCCTAACAATTTAAGCTAATGGATTCCATGAAAAAGAAATAAATCCATATTCATTTTTCAATATTAGTGGGTATTACCAAAAGATAGCACTTTTACTTATAATATGATCCTTTCAATAATGTCATTATTTTGGATAAATTGATTATTATATAAAAAGAATACTAATAATTGTTATCAGAGTAATAATTTGATGCGGAGTTGCGTATATATTGAATAAGGGCCATTTTTGGTCCTCCAATCAGAAACTGACACATCATCTCAATGCTTAAAATAATCAATAGATGAAATTTGTTTAACGCTTATTGGCTTTGTCTTTTTTTCTTTTCCTAATTTATCAAACAATTAAAGAAACAAAATATATTATTCATCTTTCTTTTTCTCACTCAAAACCCCTTTCTCTCGTCTAAACCCTCATTACTCTTCCTCTTCAACCATCTTTGCCCAGAACGATTTTTTCAACTAAATTTTATTACCATTCCCTCTCTTTCTCTCTCCATATTTATTTCTTTTCGCGAAACTATAAATGGAATAAAGAGTTTGACTTTCTGATTCACAAACTTATAAAATCCATCAACAAATATCTCCTCATCTCTCTCTATATATATCTATCTATATATATATATATATTGCATGGTTTTCAAAACCGGAGGAAAAACTGATAATTGTTCGACCCCCAAGTCCGGTTATATTATAAACCAGTAAATCCTTAAAACTTATTGAAAAAGTCAGAAAATCGTGGACCCATGTGATCGAACTACTAAACCATTTGACCCGGGTAGCAGTTTGCGGGTTACAAATTTTATTTTCACTAATTTAAATAAAATAATAAAAACAAAAATAAATTGACCCCCATATCCCCGACCCCACCTCTTACAAATGTTTAGGGTTAGAATGACCACCATTTTCATTCTAACCCTTCTCTCCTCTCAGCCCTCACACCCAACTGACCACCTGCGGCGACCACGACCTACAACGACACAATGACCAGTGGCGATTCACGACGATTGGCGACGGCAGTGAGCTTCATCTATGGCGGCCAACGCGAATTTTGCAGCAGGTCCAGCAGTAACCTCTAAAGTCTTAACGACTTGCAACGGCGGCCAGTGATTTTGCAACGACATGCTGGGGTTTCTAACATGTTGCAGCAGTAACAGTTCCAACAACACTTGGAGCTTGGAAGCGGAAGTAATAGTTGTAGTGGCAATCACCTGTGACCAAGCCTAAGCCCACCGACGACGATTTTTGTGACTTTAACACTATCACACCACCATTACCAGTAGTGAAACCGTGAAAGACCTGAAGGTATAAAATGCTTACTTCTTTGAATTTTTTGTTAGTTTACTTGATTCTTTGAATCTTTTGCTTAATTCTTTGTTTAATTAATCTTGCTTAATTATTTTTTTGAATTCTTTGCTTAATTAGTTACAGAGATTCACATACTCACATTTTGTGTTTTTTCTATTTTTTACATTTTTTGTGTTTTTATGTAGTTTTTTGTATTTTCTGCACATGTATGTGTATGACTAAACACATCCTAATTTATCTTTATTTTTCTGTACTTTTGGTGTTTTTCTGTATTTTTTAGAATGTTTTTGTTTTTTTTTTTTGTATTTTCTATTTGTTATGTACTTTGTTATTTTTGTATTTAGATAGTTTTATTTTTCTGTATTTTTTGAATATTTTTGGTGTATTTTCTGTATTTTGTAGAAATTCTGTATTTTATTTTATATTTTCTATGGGTTTTGTACTGTATTATTTTTGTATTTAGATAATTTTATTTTCTAAGTTTTATTTAATTTTATGCTATTTTTTATTATTTATAAATATTTTTTTATTTTTAATTTATTTATGATATCATGGGTTGAACCGTTCGACCCAGATGGTTGAACCGTTTAACTAGAAACTAGTCCCCTTACTGGTTTTGTATCTGGTTCGTTTTTGAAAACCTTTATCTATTGTGTCTTTTGTCATCTAGTTTACACTTTAAAATCAGATGGTGATGATGATTCATTTATTCAAATCTCCAACTTTCTAAAATTGAAATCATGTTGTTTTGTATTCTAATATGAATTCTTGCTCTCTTTTTTATTCAAATTACAGATTTTGAAAAAGAATTTATCTTTGTAAACAAATTCATAGAACTAAAGAGAGAAATGGGAGAAACCTTAGAGAAAGAGAGATTCTGATATGAATTATTACTTTTTCTTTAAAACCATTGGAGATCTATTATCTTATGAAACAATTTTAGAGGACCAAATAAAGATGGCGAAGAAATGTAGAGAGAGAGAGAGTAAAAAGGGTAAAAAAAAGTAAAGAGAAATGACAGGCCAAACAGGTGAGACGGATCTGCTCCTTACATAGGACGCTTGACACCGACTTTACAAGTACATCCCACTATGCATTGATAATATTCTCCTGACCAAGCAGGTCCCAGAGTTAATCAATTTTCTATTTGATCTAATATAAGGAAATGTAATTTTTTTGGTGCATCCGGATTGAATTTTAAGGCTTAATACTATTCTCAGAAAACACTTAAATCAATAATTACATTTGATTAGATAAATCATTTACGGAATCTAATTATTATGACGTGGAACAAAACTGAATCAATACTGAAGTAAGCATCCACTTTATATAATTTCCAATATTTTTGAACTGTTGTTGACCCGGATGGTTGGACCATTAGGACCAGAAGTCGGTCATTCGAATGGTTTTGGTTTTACTCTGAATTGCCATCTAACCCAAAACCATTGAAATGGTAAAAAAACTGTGGGCTTAGACGGTCAAATCGTCAACCCGTTCGACCCAGTCAATGGTTAATGGTTCGACATTTATATTTATTTTGATTTATTATTTTATTTTCAAATAAAAATAAACAAAAAAAGAAAATGGCAAACATATCCCAACTTCTAAACATTCGATGATTTCTCTCTGTGAGGTTTTCTTTTGCCAAAACTAAAAACCCAACATCTTCACCAGCTTCACTGAAGAAGACGACGACGGCACACTGGCACCTGCCTTCTCGAAGTCTGAACGACCACTCACCGGCGACCAAGATTTGTAGTGGCAGCCGGTGAACACGGTGGAACACTCTGTTTATGAACATCTCTGATCTCTTGAAAGGAACGACATCTCTTGAAGAGAATGGCAGCGATCACTGTGGACATCCAACCTCCAACGACCAATCTTTGTTGCGACCGCCTACGACCACTTTGGAAGGAGGTAAAAAACTTGCATGTGATTGCGTTTTTTCGTATTTCTCTCATTTGATCTTTGTATTCCAATTTTACATTAGGAAACACCAATCTCTACGCACTAAGCTATTAACTCATTTCCATTTTTTTTTGGAATACTATGATTTCTTGCATCAGGAACCACCACTTGTGTTGGCGAGCACTCCATTAGAATCGAGAACCACTGTATTTTTCTGGTATTTTTTGCAATACTGCAATTTCTTTTTCCTATATTTTTCTATGTATTTTATTTAATTTTATAATATTTTTTGTTTTTTAATTTATTTATGATGTTATAGATTGAACCATTTGACCCAAACAATTGAACCGCCAAACGGGAAAATGGTGCCTAAAATGGTTCTATTTTCGGATCGGAATTTAAAACCTTGATAATTTCTAGCAGTGCAGGCCGTGGGGTGTATAATGGAAAACCAATATCTAATATGACAATGAAGGAGATTAGAAGAGTGTTTGGTTCCGTTTAATTTATTGAATAAATATTTTGTATTTGTATGACTGTAAAACCTAAAAAACAATTAATGAGAGTATTTTGATACATAGGCGCTATTAAACACCGTATCAATAAACGTCCAACCATTTAGGATGCTCCAAAATAAAATCCTGAAATGGAAAGGCACACAAAAATCAATATTTGCAAATATACATAGGTAGATACATATATACATATGGAATTAATGAGGACTTTGTGGTGAGGATGTCACGTCAGTTTGTCGATGGTCTTCGTACTGTTAATTAGGCATGGTTGGTTTGACATGAATAAGAAGTGAAAAATAATTCATCAACTACGTTGTTCATAAAGGTAGAGCTAAGTGAAAGACAAAGCAGTATGTCATTCCGTTCCCTCATCTCAGGTCTCAGCCTTTATCCAGCGGCCCGTACTCACCCGTTTGTCGTATTCTAATCAGTAATGAGGTCTACGCAATTCCCGTTTCAACTTTCAAGTGCAGTATTAGTTCTCCACTCCACTCTCCCTCCCTTTCTCTTTCTCCCGAGAGGCTGAGATGGTCGAAATAAATAAATGTGTCTGATCAACTCATTTAATTCGTCCTGTTTGGTAGATATAACCATAGTTGAAGCTAGGCTTGAAGCACACTCTCTCTAGCTATAAAGCCAAGCATGAAGCACCTCTGCCTATTTGCAGTCCATGATTTGCTCTCCTCTTCATTCCTTTCTTTCATCCATCCATGGAGTTGATGGACCTTCTTATCCTCCTAGCGGCAGCTCTCCTCGTTCGTCTTTGGTGGAGATACTGGTCAGTCACCGGAGGTGGATCCAAGAACCTTCCTCCTGGTCCGCCGGGTTGGCCGCTCGTTGGCAACCTGGTGCAAGTCCTTCTCCAACGTCGTCCATTCATATACGTCGTCCGCGACCTGCGTACCAAGTATGGCCCCATATTCACCATGCAAATGGGGCAGCGCACGTTGATCATCATCACAAGCGCCCAGCTCATCCATGAAGCCCTTGTCCAGAAGGGTCCTCTCTTTGCTAGTCGCCCGGCTGACTCGCCCACTCGTCTCTTGTTTAGCGTCGGTAAATGCACCATTAACTCGGCTGAGTACGGTCCTCTCTGGCGCACCTTGCGCCGGAACTTCGTTACCGAGTTGATAAACCCAACCAGGATCAAGCAGTGTGGTTGGATACGTGAGTGGGCGTTCGATAACCACCTGAAGAGGATCAAGAAAGAGGCCTTGGAGACGGGATCCGTCGGGGTCATGACCAACTGCAGGCTCACTATATGCAACATTCTGATCTGCATTTGTTTTGGTGCAAGGATTTCCGACGCCAGAGTCAAGGAAATCGAAGCCGTGTTGAAGGACGTCATGTTGATGACGACCCCGAAACTTCCCGACTTTTTGCCCGTCTTCACGCCATTTTTCCGACGGCAACTAAAGGAAGCCAAGAAGCTAAGAAGGAAACAAGTGGAGTGCTTGGTCCCTCTTGTTCGAAGCCGAAGGGCATTCGTGGAGTGTGAAGGGAACCCTACTGGCGACGCTGCTGGCTGGAACGAGGATATCGTGAGCCCTATCGGTGCGGCCTACATCGACTCACTGTTCAAGCTCGAACCTTCCGGCCGAGGAAAGCTGGGTGAAGAAGAGCTCGTGACGCTGTGCTCGGAGGTCATGAACGCCGGTACGGATACTAGTGCAACGGCAGTAGAGTGGGCGTTGCTTCACTTGGTGATGGACCAAGATATACAACAAAAGCTGTACGAGGAGATCGTGGACAGTGTAGGAAAAGACGGAAAAATCACGGAAGAAGACGTGGAGAAGATGAGGTATCTGGGCGCCATTGTGAAAGAGACCTTCAGGCGACACCCGCCGAGCCACTTTGTGTTGTCTCACGCAGCGACACATGAGACAGAGCTGGGGGGGTACACCATCCCCGCCGACGCGAATGTAGAGTTCTACACAGCGTGGGTGACCGAGGACCCAAGCGTGTGGAAGGAGCCGGGTGCGTTCAGGCCAGAGAGGTTCTTAGATGGTGATGGGGTGGACGTGGACGTGACTGGGTCGAGGGGGGTGAAGATGATGCCCTTCGGAGCGGGGAGAAGAATCTGCCCAGCCATGACGCTTGGGACGCTGCATGTGCACTTACTGTTGGCTAGGATGGTGCAAGCATTCAAGTGGGTTCCTGCCCCAGATGTTCCACCAGACCCTACAGAGACATTCGCCTTCACAGTGGTCATGAAGAACCCTCTCAGGGCTGCTATTTTGCCCAGGTGATGAAGATCCATCGAAGAAAGCATCATGAACATGAAATGTGTTCTCGGTCGTCTCTGTTTCTGTCTCGTTGGCTTCAATTAATTAAATCTTCATGAGTTTAATTATATTTATCTATTATACTTAAAAAAACTAACTTATATATATATATATATAGAAAAGCAGTTTGTCAAGAAGGATGATTGCGATTGGTTTTAGTGTATTTGGCATTCTATTGTCTTAGAGGATTATCAGTGCTTCTGTTATGTTGACATTTAAGGTTTGATAATAAATTAAGTAGCATTTAAGAGAAAATCTGGGTTTCTTGTTTTAGTGGGCAAATCAAATGCTGTGATATTGATGTTATTTTTAAGCTGTTCTTTTAAAATTTAAACCATTCCGCTTATATAATCGTCGTCATTAATGGGAGTTTGCCGTGAAAAAGGCTCGGCCTCTATATGTCGTTTTTGGAGACTCCAGATTCTGCAAGTAAATGGGTCGCACCGGAAATTAAAGATGAGAGAACATTGTTTCAATGTTTCATTTAATTAGCTAGAGGAAAATCGATGAATATAAATCTCACAGATGCGTGGAAATGATAAATTACCAATTTGGAGCAGTACCCTTTGAAGTCTTAAGAAGAAGCATGTGGACGGTTGAAAGTTTTCTTAGGTTAGCTGGCCAGGCAGGAAGAGTACACTCACATTGACGCCTTAATATGTGCCATTAATGGACAGCTTACACAATACATTGCACCCTTGCAGAAATGAGACACTTCTTGGGTGGGTTGGCGAAGCTTCCTTTTAATCTGTGTGGCTTCTTGCCTTCTTGAAATAGGTGCTTTAATTTCTCTTGGGGACTTTTAGGTTTTGGGCGTCTTTCATACTTCATACATTTGATATGAAATTATGTATGAATCATCATCGGTCTCTACTAGTACTATTTACTATTAAAATTCTAAATAATCAAAAAGAAACAATAAGGGCCTGGGCCTGTTCATGAAAATCCTAAATAACAATACCCATCTGCCACGTGGCTAAGTAAAATGAAAAAGTTGTCGACATTTGATAGAACAAAATAATAATAATGAATTAATTAGAGTGGGTTCCGAAAAGTGAAGGGAGGCTAATAGAAATTAGAGTGGGTTCCGAACACTTCACGTGGTCCTCATCCATTGGGTTGATATTTAAGGCATTGAGTCAATGAGCGATGGACAAGTTGGATCTGACAAATGTACTCGGTACTTGTTGGTGTGGCCGTGGCAGTGGCAGTGGCACGAGATGGGGTTAGGGTTTGAGTCATCAATGAATGATGGACACGTTAAGACTTACAGCCTGACACACAAATTTACTCACTGTGATAGCACCGGCTGGATCTTCTTGAGTTTTCAAATTTCTCGAGTTGGATCTGCCGGGTACCGAGTGCCCACCACAAAACGCTGGCAGTGGCCACATGCCGGGTACCGAGTCTCACTCTCACATAACAACTCCCGTCCCGTCCAGATGTGTGGCTGTAAGGTTTTGTGGTCAGCATATCCGCATTCGGTTCTCGGATCTCTCGTGAGAGATTGGATCTGGTTTAGGCGAGCCCCGAATCTATCATGAGAGAAAAGCATGGTTTTTAAAATCGAATCGGTCAAGGGTAGGTTACCGGTTTGAACGGTCCGACCGTTTGATTTAAACGATAGGTCCGTTCTGACAAAAAAATAAAAAAATTAGAAAAACGGTCAAAAATGATTAACTAGTCTCAGTTCAGTGATTTATTGACTAAAATCAACGATTTTAAGAAAAAAAAATAGATTTGAAAAAAAATGAAATCAGTTAAGTGACCAGTCCCCAGTTTTTCTGGTCTTATCCGGTTTTAAAAACCATGGAAAACACACCGACAAGGCCACCCACAAGCATAGCTAATAATTTAGCAGTACACTCCACCCCAGTGCGGACACTGATATTACAGCTATCTTAAAGATTGCCGAGTCCGGATCTGACCTATCCCAATAAAGGGTTCCAATATACGGTCTTCTGCCTATTAGATCCCGTGTTTAGTAATTAGTAATTTTTTATGCATATTCCATAAATGTGAACGTCCCTATTTAAAGCAAAATTTTACTCAATTTGATTAATTCCATAATGGAGTGAGTGTATAATCCACCCATCTCTTATAAGATGGAGCGTTTATGAGACTATTCTGCCTTGAATCAAAGGGGGTGAAATATTATTTGAGTTGCAATGTTCCAAGAAATTCTTCCATTTATTAATTTAACCGAGTAATTTTAGAGGGGGTGCAAGATTTCCTTTAGAAAGCCCATGAAGTTGCCACCTCAACATGCCATATCTCTCTTTTCTTTCTCCTTTATATTAGGAAAAACTAATACCACTCATATATTTAGCCCCTATTTTTTAGGAAAGAAAGTCCTTTGTAAAGCTAATCTTACTCTAAGTAATACCCTCCCACTAGCCATGTGGCACCACTATCTCCCACTTTCTCCTACATTACATCTATTATTTCTAATTCCTAATTATCTCATAAATCATTTCTAATTTAGGAGAATTGTTCTCCTAAATTATCTCTAATTTCTATTTATCTTCTCTCCCAATTTTCGTCTATATCTATTTAAATAAAGTTTAAATTAAAAGTTTAACAATTATTTAAATACTATAATGAAATTATGTAATAACTTTAAAGTATCTATTAAAAACAAAAATAATTATAATAGATTTAATAATATTCATAATTAAAAATTTTATATTTTTATGAAATTCATAATGAAATTATGTAATAACAATATATATACTTATAATCATAACGAAATTACTTTATATGCATTTGCATTGCACATATTTTAGGCATAGTTGCAAGTAAACCCCCTTGGTATAATCTTCTAAAAAGAGGCATGAAAATGTCCAAAATACCTATATAATTAGTTGTGACAAAACTGTTTATTTTCCAAATCTTCTACTACTAGTTTGCAATAGAAAGTTCAGGGGAAGTGATTGTATTACTAAACTTTAGGAGAGGTTTTTAGCAATGGTCAGAAACTTCAGGGGAGGTTTCAACAATTTACCTAAAAGATACTAAAATATGGGGGGTGAACTTGAAAAGAAGTTTTTCTATCAAATGCATATCTATTAACCACGGGTACTCATGCTGATGTGTAAAATGATTTGGAAACTCGTATGCCCCCCAAAAATTAAAATGTTTTTAAACTTATTATTAAATAATAAACTCACAACTAATGTACGTTCTTCTCAACAATAAGGGGATAGATATCAATGAGGGTTGCTCTTTTTGTGGTGATTAGTTGGAAAATTCTAATTAACCACATCTTCCTTTGATGTAATGTGGTTATTAAAGTTTGGTCATTTCTAAACCATATATATCCTGTCCATCCCATCTTTACACATCAATATTTGGGGTTGGTGGGAATCCCTGTGTTGTGGTCTGATATAAGATGGTAATGAGTATCTTTTGGAGAATGTTCTTTCTATTCTTTGGCAATTGTGGAAGAATAGTAACAATAATGTTTTCAATAGAACTCTCCACCCTATGGTAATTCTAGAAAAAAGATCGAGTTATTTGCCTTGAATACTTATCTTTGGCAACTCCAATTTGTTTGGATTATATTGTAGCAAAAAAAAAAAATTGTCTGGATTATGGGAGAAAAGCTAAGTGGACTTGGATTGGGTGGAATGCCCTTAAGGCTAATGAGATTAAAAATCAACTTTGATCCTTCTAAGATTACTTGTAAGTATGCACGCGCTTTACGTGTGACCTTTTTTGATGATGATGGGTGTTTCCAACATTTTCTACAATTTTTTATATTTCTATATTTATAAAAATTATCCTTATTTGTCACACTTATTTTTGTTTAATATAATGAATATACAATATTACAAATGTGTCCAAATGTTTTCTACATTTTTTTTTGTAATTTTATACTTTTGTATGCTTTCATCATTTTTTAATTTTTATTATTTTTAAATAAAAAGGTCGAATTGTTGACTCGCAACAAATAGGAAAACAACTCCATTTTTTAGTTGGATTTAAATTTGTATTTTATTTCTATCAATAAAAATAATTACTCCTTATTACACTTATTTTGATTTAATATGGTTAATTAATATAGGATTCATTGAAAGAATGGGAGTTATCAATACCATAAGTATAAAACTTATGAGAGGAAATTGAACGAGGAGAAATCTAGTAATTCAAATTACATTTTATGCCCTTACAATTAGAGATGGGCCAATTTCGTAAATAAGGGTATTCTAGTCATGAAAATGATTCAATGAATGCTAATGAGAATTAAGATCTTAATTATAAGACTCAATGATAGGGATTGGAAAAAGGAGATAAGTGGTTGTTCAAATTACAATTCTAACCTTACAATTAGAGAGATACCAAATTCAAAAATTGAGATATTATAATCAAACAAAAGTTCCATACTATCATTCACACTTTTAATAGTATTATAGATATAGATTGATGGAAATTGTGATGTTGGGGTTCATCATGATTTAAATGATTCATTCTTTTCAATTTCTCAAGGTCTATTGATTAGACCACCATCAATGTGCCAGAGGCATGGGCAGCACTCAAAGCGCATAAACTTGCATGGATATTTCTAGGCTATATGATTACTATTGATCTGAATGTTCATTATACTCCAAGGTTTTAAAAATCGACCTCGAGACGGAACTGTTTTGGCTACCAATTTTTGGGTCGGTGGTTCGACTGTCTAGGTCGAACAGTTTAGATGATTTGACACATTTAACCCTTAGATTGGAATATTAGGGTATATGTATCATTAGTATTTTGTGAGAAAAGAGAGGGGGTTGGATGCTGGCTCAGAAAGGAAAGGAAAGGAAAGGAAAGGAAAGGAAAGAAAGAAAGAAAGAAAGAAAGAAAGAAAGAAAGAAAGAAAGGATAAAAAGAAAGGAAGGAAGGAAGGAAGGAAGGAAGGAAGGGGGAGGAGGAGGAGGAGCAGGAGGAAGAGTTTCTCACCGACGATGATGACGACAGTAGTGACGGTGACAGATTTGATCTCTCTCCCCCTCTCTCAATGATCTTAGATTTGAGATCTCATCTCAGTCCTTCACTCATCTCTCGATCTCGTCTTCTTTAATCTTTCCAACAAAAAAACACCATTAAACCGTGAACTGTTGTCCGGGTCGAACAGTTCAGCAGTCTAACCATCTAGGTCAGTGGTTAAAACCATGGTTT